ATCCGGCCCCGGGGCAGCCGCGCGGAGCTCGGTCCAGCTCCGCACCGGAGCCGGTTAGGCCGCAGCCGAAGCGCGGCGCGCAGTTAGGATTTGTCTCGGTGTGCTGTTCTTCAGTGACCTGCTCCGTGTTTCTCTTCCAGAGCTCCTGAAAGGGGGACGAGCGAGATGGGAAAAATAGCAGGAAAAAAGGCTTTTTTTTAAATAACATGCCACCAGAACCTCTGCATGGTGACAAAGGTATAAGTTATGTTGCCGTTATTTAATTTGGGTGTTACTGATGTTTGTGCTGTCTGTCTGTTTGGGTTCAGGACGCCTTTTGGAGGCGTTTATTGCTCTGCAGCACTCGCAGGCCACAATTTCAGATCCGGGTTTGAAATCTCCTTCTGTGTTTCACGTCTGCTGTAGCCTCCTGTTTCCCCGCAGAAGTGTCTGCCAGAGCAGGTAGAATGCAGGCAGATACTGCTTTCATTTAGTGCGAATTTTTCTCAATTAAAATCCGTAGCCTTCCTTTAAGATTTCTCAAGGGGGAAGTAAAAAGGAGATGTGGCTGGGCAGTGTAGATCACTGTTACTGTACCACTCCTGGCGTTTCCTTTTTTAAAGCTTATGCAGGCAAGAAAAAAAATACATTTGTTTCCTTCCAACTTAACCTTCCAAAGTTCAGTGACTCCACGTTCCACTGGGGGCAACCACATGTATTAATGATCTTCATACCAGTATGCTCTGGGACTTCTAAAACCTCAGGGCAGTTTCTGGAAGCAGTGACTTGGGTAACTTCCAAACAGAAAGCGCTGCGCCGTGGGATGGAAGCAGGAGAACTGGCTAAACTAGCATGGAAGCAAGAAATTCCGAGCAGTGATTTCCCCCTAAGTAACCCCCTGGGCTTTCAGTTACTGTAAACAGAGCTTTTCTTAAAATAGTTGTCAAGTCATACTGATATTTGGCCACGTGACAGAAATTTGAGGGCATTCTGGGATAAGATGGGGAGTGATTTTTAATGTTGCTTTCCAGAAGCACCTTATAATGAACTTGTCACTTCAGGGAGTGGTGCTTGGGAGGAAACACCGAAGCATCTGCTGCCCAGGAATAAACACACCGTGTTTCTCCAAAACCAGCTCTTCAGCCCTGCCAATATAATCTTAGAAGGCAAAGATTCAGGACAGAAAATGCTGATTAGACAACAAGGCCTGTGAGCAGTTGAAGAGGAGATAGGTTCAAGGTTTCAGTTGAGGCAACACTGAAAACAAGTGTGGTTTGTGTCACTAGGGGCTTGCTACCAGCTATGCAAAGGCTGCGTTTGTAACTGGTCACAGAGGGTGATTTTCACTGTTGGAGGGTTTCTTTAAGTCAGTGTTAATACTGATACTGCTTTCTAAAGTACCTATTTGCTTAAGCTGACAGGTCTTATGATTGAAATTGGTGTTTCTTTCAGTCTTTCTTATGAATTGTACTGTGTGAACTCCACACATGCTGACCTAGCACAAAGGTGGAAAGCCTCACTTGCTGGTGTTTTGGTGTTGGCTGGAAGATGTACCAATCTTGCTTTATTGCTTTGATAAAGGTGTAGTTTTGTTTGTATACTGGCTGTATTTGTATCTTGACTGTAGTGCCAGTCAGATGATTTTGTTGTTTGAAATGCAAGAGTCTCAGGCAAGCAGACTGAATACTGAAGCAGGTAATTCATTGGCTTTGGGATTTGAAGTAACTTGTCCTTGACCAATGTGATGTTACATCGTGCTGCTGGATAACTGGAGCTGCCCTTTACAAGTTGGAATTTTCTCTAGTCTTTCACTCAGTGGTACCACCTGAGTCACAAAGATACAAGAAATGTGTGTATTTGATGCTGATAGGATGTTTTAGAATGCTTAGTGTTGGGTCTGTTCTGTGTGAAACAACAAAAATGTTTGGTTTGCTTACATTTTTTTGGAAGAAATGCACGAAACCAGATGTCCACTAAATAGGAAGTGTTTGACATCTGCAGTGTTTTTGCTGAGTTTGAATATGTAACTGATCACAGGAGCATCTCCACCTACCTGAAAAATTTGGGAAGTGAGAGTAGCAAAAAAGTTGCTCACCCTGTCCCTGCCTCTTTGGGAAAGAAGAGACCTTGATGTATTTCCACTTGCAAAACAATATAGGTTATATTCTGTCCATTCTTTTATATTTGTTATTATTTTATGGAATAGGTCACGATAGAACATGGAATTAAAGAATACATTATCTCAGTCCTCAAATTGTTAATAATTACCACGTAGAAGAATGTTTGAGGGTGTAATTATTTACTTTGTATTCTTAAAGGGCCGTAGTAGCAAGTCCCATGAGAGCAGTAAGCAATTAGAATGTGTCAGATGTGGCTTTCCATTACTTTCAGTTATACTCTTCAAAAGTTTATTCTCAATTCAGTGCACAAAGATAATGTCTTCATTTTAAGGATCAATAACTTACAAGAATAGACTAAGCTTACTTAAACTTGATTTATTTTCTTTAATACCATTACAGCTGGAAATTCTTTTGCTGGTCTAGACAGATCCTTTAGATTATTTCAGTGTATTTTATTATGCACGTAATTTAATGAGACAGATTTTTGAGTAAATGACAGCAGCCCTCCATTCAGAACATGCAGGAGGCTGGACAGTGTTGTCTTCCTGTGATTGTTTAGGAGTCTGTTTGGAGCGTGCACAAAAGGTGAATTGTGTCTGCAGCTGCAGAAATACATCTGGACCTTTTAGTCTAGGCCCCCTTGGTTTTACAGTCCAAAATTTAAACTGTATTTTGCTCTGTTGGACTTGTAATGTGTGTGCTCAGTTAGACTGAATGGAAATCTTGATCTGAGCCCTTCCTCTCCGAGCTCAGTTCTGTTCAGTTTTAGATGAGATGAGGGTTGTGGCTCTTGGGATGCTCTGAACCTCTGGGGCATCACACAGAGGTTTGCACGTTTATGATGTTTGTCAAGAAATGTGTTTTCATGAATGAATAACTTCAATATATTTTTACTAGTGTCGTTTTTACTCCGAGTCAGTTTTTTTAGGGCTCCCAAAAGCATCTGTTAATGTATCTCACTGTCGTTTGATTCAATGGTCTGTTTAGCAGCATGTTTGTTCACTGGAGGAAGGGAGAGCTTTGTGAGACCAGAACTTCTCCCTGTGCATGTGTTCTGTCCAAGGTTTGCACAATGTCAATGACACTGGAACAGCTGGCTCATAGTGAAACAAAAATGCTTCCTATCTTTAGAGATGCAGATAACTTTATTTACATGGTCCTGCTTTGTCCTGAACGTAATCTAAGTGCTGTGCAACTGTTTTATTCTCCAAGTGGGTTAATATTACCAAGCAGAGAGGTAGGTGGATTCTTTTCTAAACTGAGCTCTAAATAGCAGCATTTGTCCTGTCTTTAGAAGTCAAAGTTTATCAAAGTTTTACCTTTTTTTTATTTTTAATTTTTAGAAAACTCTTGACAACAATAAACATAGTGTCACCCTTACACTGGAATCCCTCTGGTGTATGTTCTAAGTGTAGCTTTAAAAGAAATTCAGCCAGAGCAGAAACTCTGACTTTCTAAAGCTTCTGCAAATTTGTGCAATCATCTTCAAGCCCTTAACAAATACTGTGTTAGCTGTGTGAGTGAGCTTGTGCTGCAGAGTTGGAGTGTGTGAGGACTTGTTGGTAGGCATAAAAATAGTTTCTTAGGCTGTGGGGCTTTGCACTCAGTCAGCTGTTGTCCTGCTTTATTTGCAATGTGATTACTGTCATAACTGTTTAAGAATCTCCATGAAAATGATCAGTAAGATAACCTTGTGCAGAATAAATATAGAGCTACACCTGCTGAGGGAGAAAGGGACCTGAGACAAAGCTTAAAAGTGCCTTTGAGGAGGAAGATCTGGAAAGTTAAACCTGTAGCTATTTTCACTGCCCTGGGGGTTATCTCCGGTGATGTTACATCCTGTAATTGTCTTCACGTTTGTAAACTTCAGTGATGAGTTTGTAGGGGTGGGTACAATACGATGAGAAATACTCAAGCACACTTCTTTTGACCTTCTAAGTAAGTTTTGGTTCAAAGAGAAGTGTTCATAAATGATATATATCTACTGACATTTGAGTCCAAAGCCATGGTGCTTGGACTTAGTGATTACTTCCCACCTTGTCTCTTGCAAATAAGATAAATCCTCAGGAAACTACTCAGAAGTAACCAGTTTTACAACACAGTATTGAATTACTGATTTTTTTTCAACATTGGCTAGAAATGAGCTGGTTGATCAGTTGTGATCAAACCTAGCATTGGGCAGCATGGGTGGAGAAGGCACAATCTTTTACAGTTGTGGGCAATGAAATGGTTTCTAACTCTGGGCTGCAAAGTCCAAAGAATGCTTTGCCAGATCCTCTCAGCTTGAAAAATATCTCAAATATTGAAGTAGTGTTAAAAAAGGAGAATGTTTACAGAATTCTGTGAGAATTTCAGTGAAGTGTTTTGCATCAGAAAATACTAATCTGCTGGAATGATGTTTCATTGGTCTTGATCTTTGTTGATTTGTTAGGTTTGGTACAAGAATCCTTTGCTGTAGAACAGAAATTTTGGCTGCAGTGAAACTGGGGGTAGCCATCAGTTCTGTAGGTGCTGGAGCACTGTGAGGGAGTTTCTGTCCAGTTAAATAAGTAGTATTTCTGATAGCAGCACCATAGCTTTGTGCTGGGGGCAGTGCTTGGTGTGTGGGACAATTATTGTGGCTTGTTCTGATGCAGAAACAAGTTCTGTAGCCTGAACTCAGTTGCAAACCAGACTTCAAGCATTTCAGTTGGCTCAAATTCATGTGAAGTATCATCAAAAAATCAGTATTCCTGAGAGAACAGAACATGATACTTTCTTCTACAATTCTGTTTGGCTCAAGCTGAATTTTCAGGTGGTCAGTTTGCTGCCACCATAGTTTCAAGTGCTTTAGCAGTGTGTGAGGATGCTTTGGTGCTTTGTTTGTGTTGGGGGTTGAGCCCAGCAGGCAGCTGAGTCCCCTACAGGTCCCCCCTCCATGGGGTGTGGGAGAGAATCAGAAAGCTGGTCCTTTTCACTCAGCCCCTCTGTGCTTCAGCAGAAGTTGTCCTTCTACTGTGGATGCAGAGCAAGTTTCATCTTGCCAAGACATCTTGGTGGAAGATGCTGTTGGGTTCAAACTCTGGAGTAAGAAACAAATCTCACTTGGTAAATAAAATCCCCTTCTGGGTTCTGCCACCTCTGTAGCCGTTCTCTAGC